TTTCATCGTGGTCAATTGTAAGATCAATTAAAGGTATCGAACCACTCCAAGAAGCATTAGCGAGGTAGAATACTGAACTATTTTGAGATGAACGTTGAGAATTTATGAAAGTAACACCTAAAAAGAAAGGTTAAATAAAAGTCAGTAAAATAAAAAAATATTCCTAAAAATATTTCTTATAATGACACAAGCACTTAAAATTATAAAAAATCGAGAACAATAACAAATATATATACCGGATTGTTGAATAATAGAAGGCGCTTTAGTAAGCATTGTGTACATGCAGAGAAATCTAATGATGTACCTGCAATAATTCAAATACATATACTTGAATTTAAGATACAACACTTGTAAATTTATTCTTGTCAAAATAAATTTAAATCATTTCTGAAAAATGAAAATGCAACAAACAAAAAGACATTCAAGTTTATATAACAATCACAACTATATGTATTAAATTTATACGTGTAATAGTAATACTTATTTTAATGATAATTTTTTGCACTACAAATATTTGTGCTCAATAGTTGTAATAATTTTGTTGGGTACTATATATCATGATAAAATTTATTGGGCCTGGTATTTAAAAAATTCCAACCCAAATTTTATAGTTGTGTAAAAAGGACTATTGGGCTTCGAAAAAAAAAACAAATTGGGCCTTTATTAAGTTAATATTAGGTATTCAAATTCAAAATAAATAAGAAAGCAACCCAAATGTATTCCCCGGTTCTTCTAGAATCTGTAGATGTGCGACACGTATAAAATCTGATCTAAGAAAATGTGACGCGTGGAACGACATTTCGCAACATCTTTAAGGGTGCTAAAAACCCTATTTGAGTATTTTACGCCATTTCTCTTTCTTCACTCAGCTCGCCGCACCTTTTTATCTCTACCCATTTCTCTTTTCTCAGACAATCATCTTCTACCCTTTCTCGCTGAGAATCTAGCCGAAAATATAATTTTACCGGTGATTCTTTCACGTTTCCCAAACCGCTGTCGAAATTATACCGAGTTTTTTTTTTCGACCAAAAAGAGAGATTGACATGAATAGATCAACTCATTTTTTGAAAATCAAAATAGTGAGTCATAGTATTTCGGTACAAAACGGGCGATAACAGCTTAGGTCTGTAAAGATCCAAAGGTAATTCAACATATTTTTTTTTTTTGGTGTAAAAAGAAATTTTTGTATGATTTTCCAAATTTTTAAGCTCTTTTCAACAATGTTCTTAACAAATATGTGAAGATCTTACGACATGGTGCTCTAATTTTTTTTTATTTTATTTTGTAAAAACAAATTTTCGTTTGATTTATCGTAGGCATACTTTTTCTTTTTGACTATTTTCTTAAAATATATGTGAAGATCTGAAGTTAATTAGGTTATTTTATTCTTAGTCTGTTGTACAAACAAATTTCTTTTGATTTTTTAACTTTAAATACATTTTCGAGTTAGGTGATATTGAGTTGTGGGCTGGTAGGTGGTTGGGGTTCGTATGGGGATGGGGTGTTACTATTGAGTGGTGTTAAGTAGTGGGCTAAGTATTGGTTGTGGTGAGGAGTGGCCCTTGATGTGTGTTGGGCTGAGTATTGGGGTTATATGTGGGATGGTTTAGTGTTGTGGTGAGGAGTGGTCCTTGATGTGTGTTGGGCTGAGTATTGGGCTTATATGTGGTAGGATTAGTATTGGGCTGGGATGGGGGTTTGTAGAATTGTGGGGTAAGTATTGGGATGGGAAAGGCCTAATGCTGGGCTGGGATTGGTTGAGTAGAGGGCTAGGAAGTGGTTGGGCGAGTAGTATGATAGAAAATGGTTTAGGATGAGGTCTGGGATGGGAGTGAGATTTAGGTACTGCAACTAACTCAGAAAACTCACGGTGGTACAACGACAATGCCTGTTGTTACTTCAGATAAAGTTACACCTTTAAAATCTTAGCAGATATGTTAACATAATAATAGAAATTATTTTAGACTTAGCATTTTTTTTTCTTGAAAAAATTCAGGCTGCAACGAAGGCCAAGATGTGCTAGCGTATAGTGTGAGAAAGTGATCAAAGAAAGTGATATAAATCAAAATGTTGACTACAGAGATAATGATGACATAGAGTCATGAAATCAACAGATAAATAACATTTACTATTTCATTATATATATTTCTAATTGTTTTATGGGTTTATTATCATTCGAATAACCAAATACACTTTATATGCAGGACAAATTCATTAAAGGAAGCGGACATGCTGAAACAACAGGAAAAAAGAGTACATCAAGGACAAATTCATTCAAGGAAGCGTACTGTTCTTCGTTATAACTCTTGGGCAAAGTCGACATAACAAAAAAAAAAAAGCAAAGAAAGAGAAGGAAGTGCAAAAATTCAAGGAAGACAATAAGAACCCTTAGCAAAATGCAAAATCCGTGCAGCGAACAAACAGATAGAGAAGTTGTTCAAACAGAGGCAGAGAAAATCAAAAGAAAGTTTGGATGCAAGAGTTAGAAAACTTTTCGCAAAATTAAGGGCACCAGTATTTACAGTCTGCAGATTGTTGATTTGGGGATATAAGAATTTGAATTTGAAATAAATGGGAGAGGCGAAGTGTTTCGTATACGCCATAAATGTCGCGATGACAAATGGGAGTGCGACACATCGCAAATCGCAGTGGATGTCGGGAGAAATAGATAAGGGGCACGCCTTTTAATGAAAAGGTTTCATTCATTAGATGCTGTTTCGTTTTCCACTCTAAACGAACCGAAAGGTCGCCCGTGATCATTTCGGTCCTACCTTGTATAGCAGATACGAATCACACGTTTGAATAAGTCCCTACTCGTGCCATTCGAACCTTGGGGGCCTTTGTATGGGGTATGGACTGAACGGATGGGTAAAAGGTTAGATAAGTGGCAAATCACTGTACGCGCGGAGGAAAAGAGTTGGACCAGACGCAATAAAGGGAAGTGGAATACCGGACGGACGGGCATGAAAATTTAGAATCAATTGTAATCATTGCGAGATGTTATCCGTACCAAGCGCATTAAATGTAGCGGGATCTGAAAATCACTAATCTAATGGTGTCTAGCCTAGTTGGGCACGTGGCACGATCTGGATAAACCAATAATATTGGGATTAGATTGTATAGTACATTAGCATTAAATATGGAATGCCTAATATCATAAAAGATCTTGTAAGGAAAAATAGAAAATAAAAATCTCAAAACGGGAATGTAAGCAATCATAAACGAACTTAATCAATCATCCCATATTCCTAGCATATGAATTTAGCTACTCATAACGATTTTAACATCACACATCACATAAACCCAAGCCATCATCATCAATAGAGCTTTTGAGCAAAAGGAACTTACGGTTAATGTAAATAATCCAATGTCAAATCCAAGAGCATCCAAATCCAAAGCGAGAAAAAGGAGTTTATCAATCTCCAGAACAAATCAAAAGTGAAAAAGCAATGAAAGGAATGAGTTTCTAGAGAAAAAAAGCGTAAAACTAAAGACTGGAAGTCGATATCTGATCCCTAGGACCAAATCCTGATGTAAAAACCCGCGCCAGCCAAGTCGCGAGTCGCGACTTATCAACTCTCCAGGTTGCGAGTCGCGACATCCTTGCGAGTTGCGCGTCGTCAAAATCTTCAATTTCTGGGGAAAGTCGCGACCTATCTCGCGACTTCATCTCGCGAGTCGCGACTTGAGCTCGCGAACGACGCCTTCAGCCTCTGTAAAACTCGCGAGTCGCGACATAGTCGCGAGTCGCGAAAATTTTTGGGCACGTTTTGCAGTCCATTTTCGGTCCTTCCTTCAGCTTTCTGGGCTCGACAATGGGTATTCTCGACATCACGATTTCGGGTCAAGCGGTCCCATCTTCGTCCGGCACAACCTACTTCCTGGAAACACAAATACGGAAAAACACGAAGCAAAAATACAACCAAAAGACGCAAACATAAAAAGTAAAGAGAAAAACACAAAACCAAAGAAATGGACCAAATAAGCTACAAAAATCCTACAAGTGGGGAAAACAAAAAGAAAATAAACTCAAAATAAAGACACAAAAATAGGACAATCCGTTAATCAAGTCGATTGTTGAGGGAGTCTCCTTGTAAACCCTTGAGAAATGGTTGTGATATCTACATTATTGAAAAAGATCTGAAGGGAGAGTGAGATGCTCTCCTGAAGGTTCAATTTTTAGAAACATTGTTTCCGCAATTGCATGTACCTAGGAGTTTGCATAACGTTCATATTGAGTGAGACCGACCGTTTTCTTTTATTTTGGTAGCCAGCCACGGTATCCGGAGCTATGCTCCGACTATCCGTTGGTCGACCCGGGTCTCACACTTGGCAGTGCTGGGTGAGTCTCTCAACAAGAGTTTTCTGCATCCACAAGAACTCGAACCCGAGACCTTACTTAAGCGACATCAAGTTGCTTACCACTTGAGTCAACTCTTAACATTTTTCTATTATATATACAACCGCTACATGCTAAAGTAAATGTGGTCGTGTAATGATAATAAGTAGATCACAATTGCACGGTGTCAACAATTGATAATACCAAAAATTTAAGCAAAATAGGAAGGAAAATAAAGAACCACCCCCATAAAACGCATAGTCCAGGTCAGATTTGACAAAAAGTCAACATTTCAAATCCTTCCATCAAATGCATGGTCATGAAAAAAGCCATGTTTTAAGGAGGGGTTTGGGGTCTAACAATTTAAAAAAAAAAATAAAATAAAAAAAAAATAGAATTTTGATCAACCCCTGAAAACAAAAGGGAACTAAGCCTCTCAAAAATCACTGAAGAAGGTGAAATAAAATTAATCATCACATAAAATTCATCAATCTGTTTGGTTGAAAAAAAAAACAAGAAACACCAGAACCTGAAAAATGTTTAAAAGCACATTGTCCTGAAAGAAGAAAAAGTACACTTTTTTTTTTGGGCATTCAATAAATAAATAAAGAATTGTTTAGGGACTTGAAATATAAATATGACAGGGCAAAAAGGTGAAAAGATGGTGGTTGTAGCAATTGACAAAGACAAAGGGAGCCAAGCAGCATTGAAATGGGCAGTTGATAATCTGCTGGGGAAAGGCAAAAGTGTGACCCTCCTTCATGTCAAGCTCAAGACTTCTTCTTCTCCTGCACCATGTATTCCCCTTTTCCAGAATTTAACTCAACTATTTGTTGCTCCATGCATATTCATTTAGTTTAAGACATGTAGTTTTCATCATCCCAAAAAAGAGTTAAATGATTTTACATGAGAAATGGACATTGGCAACAAACATTTTATGCAAAAACTACATTTTCAGTCCTGCTGGTTTAACGTCATAACATTTTTAGTCACAAAGTTTTAACTTTTTGCTTTTTGATCATGTAATTTAATATTTCGCTGCAATTTCAGTCAGTCTTTGGGGACTGAAATTGCAACAAAAATTTAAAATTTCAAGACTTAAATTGTTAATAAAAAATTCATCCAAAAAATTTTTTATTAACCATTTAATTCCTGTAATTTAAAATTTTGTTGCAATTTCAGTCATCAAAGGACTGAAATTGCATCGAACTCTTAAATCATAGGACCAAATAACAATATATTCATATCTTAAGAGTAAAAATGTCACTGGATTAAACCAACAAGATTAAAATTATAATTTTGCCAACATTTTATTTGGACATTCCCTACATTTTTTCTTTTGCACGTTTTTGAGTGCAGTTAGTCAATCCAAGGAACTCTTCCTTCCTTTCCGCTGCTTTTGCACCCGTAAGGACGTAAGTTTTGTGATTTTTTTCTCATTTA